ATGACCAGAGCATCCGTGCCCACAGGATAACAGCCATGTTCGATTGCCCAGGATAATGATTTCCATGTTCGGCTGTATACAATGACGCTAGTATCCATGCCCACAAGACATCCATGTTCTACTGCGCAGGATAATTAATAAACAGGTAGCATCCATGTTCAATTGCATACGATGATCAGAGCATCCAGGCCAACAGGATAACAACATCCATGTTCGGCTGCGTACGATGACCATAGCATCCTTGCCCACAGGATGCTTTAACATCCATGTTTGATTGCGCAGGACAATGGCAACATCCATGTTCGAGTTCATGCGGTGACCAAGGCATCCATGCCCAAGCCTATCATCTCTGCCCGAGAGCATCCCATGACGAGACACACACACGGCTTACAACGTCCTGCGTGAGCCCTCAGACTCACCTCAAACTTAAATCCTGCTACTAGCACCCCTAGACTCACCTGAATGCCTTAAAACCTGCTACGATAAACCGCAGACTCACCTTGAAACCTGCTACGATAACCCTCAGACTCACCTTAAAACCTGCTACGATAACCTTCAGACTCACTTTAATGCCTTAAAACCAGCTACGATAACCCTCAGACTCATCTTAAAACCTGCTACGAGAACCCTCAGACTCACTTTTTAAAACATGCTACGATAACCTTCAGACTCACCTTTATTAAAACCTGATACGATAACCTTCAGACTCACCTTAAATCCTGCTACGATAACCTTCAGACTCACCTTACAGCTTGTACGATAACCCTCAGACTCACCTTTAAACTTGGTCACCTGCTACACTTGGCAATCTGACACGAGACAGCGACAATGACTTGGGTTTCGAACCACAATTGTAGCTTTACAAGGATCCTATTCGAGAGTGGTGCGAAAATGCAAGAGTTAATGTAGAATCATGTAAAATACGTAAAAAACAGTAGATCTATGTAAAAACACAAGCCCGTATTTCGTACCACTCTCTTTCTAAACTATCGACTACCGCTCTACCAACGTATACACGGGCACGGGCACCGCACTGGCTCACGGGCACCCGGGCACCCGGGCACCGGGCACCCGGGCAGCCGGGCAGCCGGGCACCGGGCAACCGGGCACCGGCATCCGGGCAACCGGGCCGGGCAACCGGGCACCGGGCAACCGGGCACCCAGGCACCCACCCGAAAAGACCATAGTTGCCACACATTTTGGTGTCAATCACGAGTTTGTGTGCTGTAGCCTTCCTAATTTCCAGTGGTAAAAAGGTAAGAGTTTGCATTTGCATTCTGCCAGTTAGATCCCCGCCCTAGCTTTCGTTCCAGTCCCTCTCCCCCAGGTTTATGTGGAAAAACTCGCGGGCCTGACCCTACAGTAAGGATAATCTCTCGGGCTCGAGACCTTAAGAATCATTGAGCTCCTACCGTATGACTGACTGACTGACTGACTGACTGACTGACTGACTGACTGAGCTCCTACCATTTCTTGTGCTCTCACGCTACGAGAAGGGAGACGACAGGAGATCATGATGGGAGACAAGCAAGGACTCGCGGTTTACCGGATTTTACCGGGACTCCCGGCAGCATATCTGTTTTTTCTTTTTTTTGAAAAGCTAGAACCCTTCAGTATCTTGGGGAATAAAGTAAAAGGATGAACAGCGGAGGCTGCGGGACACACAAAAGCCGTGGATGATTTCCTACCCGTTGCGGCGCTGTCGCTCGGGTCTTGGCTTCCGCGTGGCTGAGCATTTTTTGTGCCCTTGTGATGTCCTAAGGTCAGCCCTCGGTGATGAGCGACTTGCCAGCTTGGTCAGGAATATATAGGATGAAGTTCGAGTTGAACGTTCTACGGTTCAGTGGTCTGGTCTTGTAGTGGACTGCACGAATCGATTTTTCATTGTGATTCATGATGTGGAGCACTGGCACGCATCCACCTGCACGGCAGCCCCGCCAGCTGGTAACCGATGGGTGGAGGTCTGCAGACAGAAACGTACTCCAGACATCCAGCAAGGAAGCATGAGGCAGCTGTGTGTCTCGTTGAGAGTCGAGAGTCAGCAGCAAAGCTTGGCTTGATGTAGAGCCATGTAGAGTGTGCAGGCACTTTCAAATTCCACATGTGTGTTATGGAGTTGGCAGCTGCTCTTAAATGGCAAGATGAGGCCGCGGACTGTGCTAGAAGCTACCTTGGAGACCGGCGGCATGCTCAGATTGTAGCACATTGAGCGCCAGCGAATGTGTGCTGTGCTGAATTGCTTCGCAGACTGGTAGACTGCTGGAACAGTTGGGTCGCATTGTTCCACATCACAAATCTGCTCACAGTTTCTGATATGTCTTGTAAGCGGAATCTTCAGCAGGCAAGATGTCATCGCGGCCCTGGGCGCAGAGTCATCAGTGTGTGCCATGCGCGGTGAGTTCTCACTGTTCGTGCGAGGGGCCGGTTTTGTCAGTCTCGTGCTGAGAGGTGCTTGTATCTGGACTTCCTGGATGTGGGGCAATTGATCTTGCAAAGGCGCTCTCAAAGGCCGGTCATGAAATCGCGGTCGAACGCTATTGCTGACGAACTTTAGGGCTTCTTCAAGTGACAGGCATGGTGTGAGTTAGCTTGTGGCATGTGAGTGTGCCAGGTAATGCGGGCTCCTCTTTGCGATATGGCAACGCTGTGGGATGAGAAACGCAAAGCGCTCAACTCTGTGAGTTTGTCCTGTGCTAGTCCAGAGCTGTCCTCCAGCAAGGTATGTGCCATATAAGCTCTAGGTGCTGACCTGGAGCAGGTGATGAAGCTCCGAGATTGGCTGCGGTCCTAATGTAGCAGGATCTGTAAGCGAATATGTTGCAATTTTCACAACCCTGCAGGCTTCAGACAAATGCACAAGAATGGGCGATACTGGTTGACGTGGTGCAGGCGAGGGAGCTTTGACATTGATGCCGCAAGACATGGCAGACTGAATGACTGCCAACTACAGCAGTCCCAAGAATACTTTTTGCCAGATAATTCGATCGGCTGAGCGGTGACTAATTACCAGTAGCCAGGATCCTGCTGACTTGCTGGAGCTCTGCGAGTCTCAAGGACTTCCCTCATCCGCAGCTGCAGTTGCGTGGTGTACTTTCGTGTTTCGGGCGGATGTCTTGCTCAGCAGGACTCAGTATCGTGAGCCACGTTGCGCGGATCTCAGGTGCTGTAGAGACCAGCTTACATGAATTAAGCTTCTCAAGCAACTATGCGTACATGATTAACGGGCGAATCGTGTGTCAGCACTATAGTTTCATGAGAGGCACAAACAGGATGTCCTTAATCAAGGTCTCCATCCTGGATCCTTTCATCGCGTACCCGTGGGGTGCCGTCTTCAACTCAGGCTGCTTATCATGTCGTCGGCACCTGCATAGTCTCACCAAAGCGAGGCACGACACCCATTGCTTCTGAGCCGGACAGCTCGCGGTTGGGTGAACGCGGCTTTTGTACAGGACTTGACTGCTTAAACGAAATTGCAAATGCGATTCCATTGATTTTGCTATGTTCAAAAGTGCCTTGTGCAGGACAACGTGATGAAAAACTCTCCCAGCAAGGGTCTTCAGGAGCACCGCGAGCTTGGAGATGCGGCCTGAGATGCCGGAAATGTTATGAACGTTTCGTATGATGTGCGCGCTGCAGGCTTTGCTGCTCAGGGAGATGACTTCCAGCAGGGGTGGTGAGCAGGCTGTTGAAAGTCTAAAAGTCTTGAGATGCTCGCAATCAAACCAGCAACCTGACCTTCGTTGTGTCCCCTGCCTCCACCATTTTCCCAAGAATCATCAAGGCACAAGGCCTCGCCTAGGTACTCTAACATACCTCCCCGCATCTCCCCATTGGGTATTCTGCACAGCATATTCTGATGCCTTGTTTTGACCTGAGGCTCTCTTGAGAAGAAAGTCAGTCTTGCATGATTCCTCGGGGCTTATGCAGCGCTGGCCTGGAGCGAGACGCGTCGTTTGCCAATGCAAATTCCAGCGTGGTGTTGTGCGCTTGAACGCTGGCATTGTCATGCCAGAAACATCCAGAAACGATGATGTTACGATTGCACACAAAGGAGTGGATAGTGCGGCCACATGATCGAAAGCAACAGCTTGGTCTTGCTTGTGTCTTCCGCCCGAGCAGCTGGCCGCAAAATGCATCACGAGGATCCAGTTCTTGCAATAATTCTGTGTTCCGCACCGGCATGGCAGCCTAAGTTTAGCATTGAGCAATTGGCTCAGCTGGAGAGTCTGTTCGTGTAGAGTGTGTCCGTGTATGGATGTGGTGTGTGTTGCTCCTGCTTCGCAAGAAACTCCGCAGACTACTTCTGCTTTTCATGCCTTTCTTGCTGGCGATCGCCTTTTGTAAGCTGGGTGTTCAGTGGGGCGTGCACCGTATGTAGCTTTCTCTTGAACTTCAGGGCAAATAGCAAATACTGCACGAATTGGCTTATCGGATAGTGCTTCCCGTTTGCTGTGTGTTTAGATGTAACCTGTAACTTATTTAGCAGGATTTCAAAGTTAAAGCCTGACTTTGCTGAATCTGGAGGTCAGCATGCGACCGTTGACCGGTGACATCATTCAGGTGACAGCTTTGTTCAAAGATAGCCTGCGTGATGCTTTTATTGGTGTGATCAGGGAGCATTGGCGCAAAGCTGCTCATCACCCTTTGCAAGATTCCTGAGTCGGTCTTTGCCTTACCTTATGTACGGCACGGCCGCAGTAGTTTCAAGTCTTTCCGAGGCCGTACCAAGGCATGTCATCCCCGCACAGAGAGCTTTTCCAGCCACAGGCGGCGAGACGAAGGAGACGTGTTTTGTGTCCTTTGGGCGTGCGGGTGCCAGGCCAGGCTGTGGAAGCATTTCGTGCCAAGTCAGAACCTTGTTCTCGATTTCGAGGCGCGAACGAACCATGAGCATGTTGCAGATGCCTTTGTTTTCAGCTGTCACTTCATTTCGTACGCATTGTGCTTGCCTCACCTGTTTTGGAAGACATGTTTTTTTTGCAGTGCTCTGCCTTCATGGAGTTTGTTTAGGTCCTTGGGTGTATGGGTTGCCAACGTAGTTTGATGTGTTGGTTCTTGTGCTTAAGATTTTCACTTTAATGGTGCCCTGCAGACTGCACATCGAAAACACATGAAGTCGGCTGATGCGAATTTCTCTTCGATTTGGACACGACAAAAGCTGACAGCTCTTCAGGTCCCGGGGTCTCAGCGGCAAACTGAACTATTGTCGTCATTTGCTTGCCTTGATCCTTTCGTCACAGATTCTGCAAAAGCTTTGCATGGAATGCCTTCATCAAGCTGCAGAAGCCTGGATCCCAGAATACCCACGGAATGATTCTTGTCTGGCGCCACTGGAACTCAGACACTTCTTGAAATCATCTCGCTGAGGAGTTCATTCTACCTCCTGAGGGCAGTTTTCATGGCCGGTGTCCCACTTCTCTCGTTTTGCCCCAGAGGGGCCTAGAGCGGCTTAGAGACGATTTGGCAGGTCATTCAGTTTGGCACGGCCTCTTCTGCGTCGAGGCAAAGGCTAGGCCTCTTCACATTGCATCAGCTCTGTTTGAGGTAACAGATGGGTTTCAAGCAAGCGGAGCATCTCAGGCGCGTGGAGTAACTTCAGGCATCTCCTTTTGGGCCGTGCACTCGGCCACCGGTGCTACTAGCATACCAGGTTCTGACTGGATCCTGCTGAGTGTTCTCCAAGTGTCTCTACCACATGAGCTGCTAGAGGTTAGGTTAGGTTGGTTGTGCTTTGTGCTATTTAAAGTAGTTCTTGGCTGTCGTTAGAAAATCTTTTCACTTGAGTATGGAAAAGGCGTTACTGGCAAAGGCCAGGACTTAGTCCCGCAAGTCCTTATGCTTAGAGCGGCAACCCTAACTCAAACAAACCTAGAAAGGAAAAAAGATGCTGACTCACAAGGCACAAGCCTCACCCGATCTTCGCAAGGCTCGAGGTGAAAGGGTGAAGCAGAAGCTTTTGTTTCTTTTCTGGAAGGCCGCAATGGAGATGGAGACTTCTCCTGCCAAGGCCAAGAATTAACTCTTGCTTCACATTCATGCTGATGGCATTTGGCAGGGAATGGTCCTCACGCCCAAGGGTGCAGGGAGCTGAGAGAGCTATGAGCCTTGCAGTTCGCAGGTTGTGATCTGCTTTCTGGGTTTGTTTTTCAGTCTGTTTTGCTTTCTTGAGCTGTCTTTTCGCGCGCAAATCGAGGAGCTGCGGCCTCCACAGCACTGGCAAGAGCCACTGGCCTCCGCTCTCGGCCCGTGGCCAAGAAGCTTCCCAGTCAAACCACATGGGGCGGTGCTGATTGGTGGTGTGATGGTGTGATGGTGTGATGAGAGGTCACGTATGGTCACGTTGCACGTGACATTTGATGTCCGAAGACTTGTACTGCGAGGTGTCGTGTTTTGGTGGTGTTTGCCGAGCCAGGCAGGCGCTACAGGATGTGTACACGGAACGAGAAATCGAAGCCCGTAAATGCAAGGCGATGCCTGCGATCAATGAAAAGGCTTCAGCAGCAGTGGCGGAGGCGAAGCCCTGGACATTGAGCATGCCCTTTCGGAAGATTTCAGAACAAGATGTCGAGAGCTTGCAATGCAGGTTGCCCGATGTGTTCTGCAACCGCCCGTGGAGGATCAACTCACATAGCCTAAGGGGATGAACACAAAAAGCTCATGAGTCCAGGGGGCATGACAACCTTGCCGTGGAGTGTGCCTGATGGTTTGTCCTAATTGTGAAAAAACACCAGCTTCAACATGCAATGATGTTACGCATGAGATTTGCATGTCTTTTTATTAGAAAGGACTTACCTGAATAGCCACAAACTTGGCACAAAACATCCTTGTCTGCTTAACTGCTAGCTTGGTTCTGCTGGGAAGTTTTTTTCAATGTGCTTAGGTGAGGGTCATGCTGATTTGCTGCGATACTCCGCCAAGCAGCCAAAACCTTTTTGGGTGCAGTCTGTGCTTACAAAGTGCGAAAGGACACTGCCTGGGACATTAACGCTGTTCCACCTGGCCTTCGGGCTGAGATTGAGGAGGAGGCAGATTTTTGATGTTCGTTCCCGCACTTTAGCTTTGCTGAAGCAATCCTGATGCGTAAGGTGCGATTGGAAGGCCCCCCGGACTCTAGGCAGCATCCCAGCGCAAACCACATCGCACCTATACGGTAGCTGAATCACAAGGACGCAATAACTCATACTTGATTCTTTGAACTATTTTCCAATCCTTTTTGGTGAGCGCACTGTTAACGTGCCAGTTGCCAGTTGACGCGCGAGCAAACGAGGAGAGAGGCATCATCAATTTTTAAATAAGGGCTCAACAAATATTGCTAAAGGATCAGCCAAAGTAATCAAATATTGATAAGGGATCAAAGCACAAATTGAGAACAGTTGCAAATGCAGTTCTCGGCCTCCCAGGCTTCTCAGGGCCTCCCAGGCTTCTCAGGGCCTCCCAGGCTTCTCAGGGCCTCCCAAATCCTCAGGGCAGCCTCCCACATCCTCTGGCGCCTCCCAAGACCAAGGCTCGAAGCTCTCCCGGGGCCTCGGGCGCCGGTGAATCTCTTCCAAAGCCGCAAATACGGGAACCGGGAAACTACAGCATCTCGAGTCACCAAGGCTGGGGGGGCTGCTGCGACTAGGAGCATTCCAACTAATCGAGAGAAAAGAAATTGCAGAACAACACGCGCAACATGATAAAGACAAAGAAAGCAACCAAACAACAATACCATTTTGGCTCAAGTCCTCGCAGCATGCTGCAGCCGTTTGCAAACAAGGGGCTCAGGGAAGGAAGCTTGCCCCCGGACATCGTGTAAGACATGCCCTGCCCTCCCTCGCAGTGTGCAGCTCTCGCTGCATCATCCTGCCCTTGCCTGTTCACTTCTAGACCATTGCGGGGGACCTTGGCGCCCAACTTTGTGACGCCCTCGTCACAGAGGTCGATCCGGAGCGGCGGGATGACTCGCCGAATCTCGCTGACCAAGAAGCACAAAGCTGTTCCGCCGGGAGGTCTCGTTATAAGGTGCACAGCAAGCTCTGGCTTCTTCGGCGTCTAGCGTCCGGGAAGTCATGTCAAACAACATCATCCAGACCCCTGATCAGAGGCATGAAGAACAAGAAGATTAACTCAGCAAGTTGCAAGAGAGAGTTGAGGCACAAACAACACATGGCTGATGTGATCAAAAGGCTGGAACAGCCCCTCAATCGTGGAGACTGATAAATGCGAAGTCGTTGGAGGGCGGCTGGGCAGACAATACCCTGGCAGGCCTTTGAGAAGTCTGTGTTGTGGTGCGACATGTGCAACGGCAAGTGAAACCACGGTCGAGGGATGTATGGGACGGCCCTACAAGCTATCGAAAGAGTTCGATCTGCGGCCCCACCACTTGAAGACCAGGACGAGGATGGTGGATGACGATAAGCCAGCCGCCTGAAATCCGCAGGCGCAGCGAATTCACCGGTAAGAGCACATGTGCGATCATCTTAGGGAGTTATGAGAAGATTTGCCCTTCCTAGGAAAAATTTGCTGGCGAAGCACGGAACGGGGTCGATATTGGCTGGAACCAATTCCCCGTCCATTTCAAGCAAAATCGACGCCTGTGAACATGGATGGCTCGACGTCGAGAAGGTGGCAGACCTGACAAGAGAGAGTGATGCCTTCCTCAGGGAAAGGTGGACGAACGACAATGCAGAGCGTCAACTGCGACTACCTTGCTGCTATCGCTGAAATACAGGAAGCCTTCGGCCGACGCCTGGGAGCATCTGATGGCGGTGCAGCTGGCATTGCGCCGTAGCAACAGAGAGAATTATTGCGTGATTTCTTGGCTGCAGAGCAACGGCGGAGTTACGGACGACGGACCGCGTAGAGCTGCAGGGCGCAGCTCGGATGTGGAGCCGCCGACCCCGAGAAGGTGGGAAGCTCACCGCTTAGGCGTGTGGCGCTGGTGGATTTTGACATCGCAGGCACGCCCTGCCGAAGCTGACCGACCCGCCGTGATACTGCTGCAGACTTTGTGCTTGAGGGTGCACTCCTGCTTCAAGCCCAAAAAAGAAGAGAGCAAAAGAGAAGGAGGAGGAGGAGGAAAAGGAGAGGGAACGACGGACGACGACGGACGGCAACAGACAACAATGACAACCAGAGAGGATAGCGCATAAAGGCAGATAGCGGGCAGCGACGAGAAATCAAACATATCAAAACCACACAACGCAAAGATACAACAACGGAGAACAACAGACGACATCAGACAACAACAGACAACAACAGACTAGACAGACAACAGCGGACAACAGCGGACAGCACCGGACAGTACCGGACGACAATGAAGAAGACGTACAACGACGGGAGCGGCTCACAGGATGTGGCGAAGGAATCCTTCGCCGCGGAACGGACGGGGTACAAGACGAACATGAACGCGAACAAGATGGAACAAGGTACGGAAGGGAAAGGAGACAAGGATCACGGACAAACGTGGTTCCGTCTGCGGTTCTTTTATCCTACCCCGGGGTCCCTTGTCCCCCCATACTCTATCTCTTGTTCCTCTGCCTCCTGTTCATTCTATTTGCCCTCTCCCCGCTGGAACCTGAGCTCCGTCACTTTTTCGGTGCCCGCAACCTTGCGACCAGACCGTCCCCTCTCCCCTCGCTCTTCGTCTCCTCGTCGTCGAGAATACAGCTATACATCGATGGCAATGGGCCGTCCCCCCCAAATCCCCCTCCCCAGCCTTCAGCCCTACAAGACGAACTTTGCTGTTACAGTACAAAATTTGCAAGTTCTGCAAATTCCTAAGGCAATAATTTACAGTATTCGCAGCTTTTGGAGATTGGAGAGTTTTGCGTGACGCAATTTAGAGCATCTGCAAGTTGTAAAAGATATTGTGCTACAGTGTCCAGTGTTTGCATCATTTACAAAGCACCATGTGCTGCGCTTTACAATATCTGCACGTTCTGACAGGTTACAAATGTTGCAATTTGCAATATCTGCAGCCCCAAGAAATCCAAAATGCTGCGTGTCACAGTATCAGAAGCCTCTACAGAACCCGCTGCTACAAGTGATAGCGTTTGCCTACATGGGCAAATTCATTTTCGATCCTAAGCCTTGCACTTTTTTCAAGGCCATCCATGCTTGCCGAGAAAAAAGGATCCAGCCACACCACTGTGCAGTAATGGAGGGTTGTATGGTTCATTTTTGTTTGCATGTGCCTGTTGATTGCCATCCATGTTTGCCGGTTATGCAAATCATTTTGTCTGCAAATGGTGGGCCGTGCTGGAAGTCCATTTCTGGGCTGGTAGAAGTGGTGCAAGTTAGATGGCTGCGGGGAGGTGGGAAGTAATTGCTCCATGTTTTTGGGTTTTTGGAGGGCCGAAAATGCCAAACCCATGGAGCAGGCAGATGGGTCCATGGTGGGGGGGAAGGTGAGGGAAATCCACGTTTTCGGGGCCGGACTGGGCATCCTCCATGTTTCGGGGGAAGGTGAGGGCATTTGCTACTTTGGAGGCTGAAAATGCCGGAAAAACGTTGGATCAGAAATCAATAAGGTCTACAAACCCAAGCGTTCCGAGTTGCCTGTGAAGAAGCTTGTGATTCAGGACTCAAGCCAACCCAAGTAGGTATGTAGGCATTGAAGTATTGCCCAGTTTGGTTTGTGCCATGGAACGCTTGAACTTTGCACATCTTTGCACCAGCCTTCAATTCAACAAAGTGAATACAACAGTGATTGACCAGCTGTGGGTTGCCTGGTTTGAGCGTGGCTGCACACGCAACTTTGCGGCCATCTCGCACGCGTATACTTGTTTACTTCAACATGTTGATTGCGCGTAGCAGCCAGACAGTTGCATTAGTTGTCGTTATGTCCCGTCCGGCTGCCAGACAGCAAGTGTGCAGTTGTTTGTTTCTTGATTTGTGTGATTGTGAGCTGGTGTGAGATTGCAGAAATTTTGCAGAGGTTTTCGGGGCATGGGAAGTCTGTGCTGAAAACATGGAGCAGGCAAGGGAGCACAACTGTTTCAGGGTTTTGGAGGGTTGAAAGTGCCGGAAATATGGAGCACGCGGGGGGTCCCAACTAAGCCCTGGGGCTGCAGGGAGATGGATGGATCTGTTGAAAGCTAAGTGCCAAAAACATGTAGCAGACAAAAAGGGCACAAGTGGGCTGTGGGGCTCCAGAGAGGCAGGAAGCTGAGGCCACTTTCTCGGGCTTTTGGAAGGTTGAGGCAAAACATGGAGCAGCCAGAGGGACCCCATGTGGGCTGCGGGGCTGCAAGGAGGTGGGAAGGTCATCGTCCTGTGGAGGGTTGAAAATGGCGAAAAAATGGAGAAGGCAGCTCGGTTTCTTCATGGCTTGTCGCAGTAACAAGACCCTCTCAACTTACAGCATCTGCAGCCTCTACAGCATCCTGCAGTATCTACAGCCTCTTCAGTTGTCGGCGAGGAGCTTTAGGTACTGCCATTCGCAGTGTTTGCGTTCCTCGGAATGCTTCGAGTGCTGTAGTTCGCAACATACATCTGCAAGAGGGGGTTGTTATTGCGACAAGCCCTGGAGGAACGATACCGCGACATACGTCTGCAAGCTCTAAGAATTCAGAGCTTACGATGCTGTATGTTATCTGCAAGCTCTAGGTGAGATTAATTTTCAATGTCTGCAAGTTTTGGATGACCTGCACACGCCGTAATTTGAAATGCTTGCAGCCTCTCCGTGGCCCAAAATGTTGCAATTTACAGTATCTGCAGTTTTGTGGCGGGGAATTCTGCAATCTACAGTATCCGCGGCCTCTACACGACCCAAAATGCTGCAATTTCCTCATACGCAGGGCCTCCAATTATAGGCAAACTTATTCGTTCGGTTCAGCACACAGGGATAGAATAGTAATAAAGGGAAGACATAGAGGACGTAAATGACCCCATCGGTTGCAGACCACAACGCAGGCTCATTTCCCAGAACAATGGTCGAAGCACTGTAGACGTAGCAGCTTAGGCAAATTTACAATCTATGCCGAGGTTAATAGAGACCTAAGACACAGAGGGCAGGCGCCAATGCCCGCAGCGGAGCGCGCGGCGATAGCAACAAATCAATCTTTGATGATCTTGATCTGCGAATTCTAATTCTTGATCACTTGTCAGCTTTCTTGTTTGAGCGTCCACGGAAGTACAGCGGCATGTTGCCACTTCTTCTAAGGACGGCTACTACTTCGATGGCGTGCGATACATCAATCAAGAAGATTGTGCAGTGAGTGAGCTCCTTGCAAGATGAGTGAGGTATTCCAAGTCTGGCACAGCCTGCCCGCACCGGTACCTGTTTCCAGGCATGGAGCACCCCAACTTTATGAGTCGGTTTGCGACTCAAAGGAGCTTTCACAAGATCATGCGCTGCTTGAACATGTTTTTTTGAAGGCTTTCGTGCGTAGTTCAAAACCACAATGACGAGCAAATGGCGCGGAGGCGACTGATACAGGAGGTTCGAGGCTGAGCTTTTGGTAGCTTGCCACAAGCGATTCCTGATCATGCACACAGGTCGGTTCTGCAGGAATACTTGAGAGGGTGGAGGGGGTCGGGATTGGGCTCATTGCAAACCCGAGCGAAAATACGGGTACTCACGTTTGAAGACGTGCGCAGAACCGGGGTTTTGGCGCAACGACAAGTTGGAACGTGTGTGCATCACGAAGGGCAGAATCCCTGAGGCAGGTCGTGAATTTTGACCATGTTTGGGGTTTTTCGCAGTGGGCGAACAATCATTTGGGACACCTTCTTTGAAACGTCCGCCTGGCTATTTTTGCGTTGTCAGCGGAACAGGATACCGGCACGGGCAAAGGCATTCTTGCCTTGGTTGCAGTGCAAAACGTTTTGTTGCATACGGGTCCGTCATCGAACCATGTCGAATTTGGTCTGCAATCTTTCGAGGTGATGGAGATGCCGCTTTTTTCCACCAGTCGACAACCACCAAGTCCTGTCCGACCTCCAGGACATGGGAAACGTCCTATGCGTGGCTACAAAGGAGCGCCTGCGTAATTAAGCAACGATCTTTCTGTACTTAATTCGTGCCTGGTCTTGTGCCAGCTTTGAAGAATTCACTGGACGTGCCAGATGGATTGTGACTTTAGCATGTCATACATATATATATACTATACATGTACACGCATGAAATCTTCCTCTTGTTCGACCCTCTTCATACTTTTGGTCAGCAACATGAAGCAGACCACCCTGCACGGACTTGGGCTGTGCTTGCCTGCGTACAGAGAGCAGCTTGCAGCGATGTTGCAAAACATCAATCCAGGTGAAGCAAAGGGTCTCATTGCCTTGCCAGGTTTGGCTCTTGCCTGGACGCAGGGAGCTGTGGCCATTTGGCTCAGGCCTTTAAAAGACATAAAGCCATGGCGCTAGTTCCGCATGAGCCAACGGGCTTCTCAAAGTCCACTTTGTATGATGGACTGAAACTCGTCATGGTGCCAGTTGGTCAAGATGAAGAGGAGGTTCAGATGGACCCCGAAAAGGGACCTTTGGTGATGCAGCTTGATGGCTCTCTGACGCATTTGCAGCCTGTCCGTGGGATTGCTGGTGGTGGTCAGATCGGTGAAAAGCTTTGGCCACAAATGACATCCACAGAACAGACTTGTGTATCGAAGCAGCAGTGATGATTTTACGTTTTGCTTTAGTGTTTATACTGTATAGAACTTTGGATTTTGGACTTGCCTTCTAGCCTGGCCTAGGCGCTGTATATTTGCGCAAAGAAGAATCGCTATGTGAAAGAGAGGCTGGAGATCGAATGATGCTTCCGCGACAGACTCCTAGGACATTCTCCAGGGTCTTCCAGATTCCAGTTTGCCAGGATGCCAAAGAGCAGGCGTTGACATGCTTGGACGTGCTCACATCTAGGATCACTCCTTACAGTTGGAATGCGTGCAATGCAGAAAATCTGAGAAAAGCCTGAAGCATCAGGTGGTAGCTTGCACCATTTGCGCCTAACGTAAGCTTCACGTGCCTTTCACTCCATGGACGCCCCTACGTAAGAGGATCCGCTTCTCAGCTCGCCAAGTAGAAATCCCTTTGAATACTGCAAATTTGACATCGCGTCCGGATGCACCAAGAGGAGAAGCAAATTGGGCGCTGTGTCTCGTTTGGCTTGCAAGCTCTTTGCTGATTAGATGTAGTAGTTTCCCGGCAAAATGCCATGGCCGCCGCGATTTATGACACCGTGCACATAGGTAGCCTGCCTCCAGGCTCGTAAGTCGTAAGCTGAATCATCGTGTGCGGCTCTTGTGGTGGTTGTAGCCAACTGCAATTCTGTAGATCTCGGAGGCACAACCGACGCATCCATCAGGCAGATCTTTGGACAATATGCCCCTATACACATTACAAACATCTTGGAATCAGCTCCAGGGCAGGCCGGAGTCAGAGCATGTCGCAAGTCTCCATTGATTCAATTCCTTGTGAGCTTGAGGCAGTGGAGGCCTTGGTTGGAGTTGGGAAGGAAGCATCCGCTTGGCTCGTCCAGAATCTGAACGGCAACATACCGCAAGGCATGTCTACACCAGTGACCATTCAGATGATGCCTTCCGAACTCCAGTTCCTAGGCTGCCCATGCAAGTGGAAGGATATCGGTGCTACAACATTTTTCTCTGCTGCAAAACATCTCAACTTGTCATCCAGGCATGAGAAGAAGGAGTCTGCACCAGATCAGGCCCTTGGCAAGCTCCATGGGATTGTTTGCTCTGCAATTGAATGGCCGCCTTTGTGTGCCATTTTGCTCATGCAGTGCAGGGGTACCAAATGGTACAGTCGCCAGGCCAAGCACAGGCAATTGGATGGCAAATGATGGCAAAGTTGTGCTCCCAGGGTTGCTGATCTAATTTTGGTTTCACTAAGGCAAGCGCACCACACAGCGGCCACAGCATGTACGTGGAAGGAATACCAGAGGGCTTTTCTGAGGAGAACGTGCGACAGATCTTCGGCCAGTATGCAGCTTTGTCAAACTAGCGAGCCAGCCCAACTCATTCACTCATACCTTCTATGACTCACGCGACAAACTCATGGTTGCGCTCGTGGCCCCAGCTACGGCTAAATACAGCTACTGATGATCTGTTCTTGGTGAGTAGCGCGACTTCTAGCACTGCTATGAGAAGGTCGCGCTATGCCAACTGGCTTTTTGTCGTAGCCTGCCCCCTTGAAGCTACAGAAAGCAGACGGTATGACACAATACAGTAGACACCAGAATCTTGTCCGATCCTCTTACTGCCACGCTGATACACGCCTGGAAAGCCTAGGCAACAATTGTCTCTGTCAAATTCGTACCTGCTGGGAAGGGAGCATCTCGGATGTTCAGGGCAACTGGAGACATGAGCAGCAAAGGGATGTCTGCATGTAGCACTGGTCGTGCATCCTGCCCAGGCCTCGCAGTCATGGCTGCTCGAATGTGGAAGGGCGGAGGAGGCCAAGTATTTCCTCGACACCCTGAACGGAAACATCCCGCAAGGTCTGCAGCAACCAGTTGCAATAAGACCGGGATCAGGTCCTACGGAGGATCCACATTCCATGCAACTAGTGCCTATACAGGGCAAGGGGAAGAGCAAGGCCGACATCCCACAATTGACTCTATACGTCACAGGTCTTCCCGCGAACTCCACAGAAGACAGCCTCCGTGATTTCTTCGTGCAGTATGGAGACGTATACAGCAGCAAGGTGCTGCCCCCCTCCGGCAAGTCCACCAGGGCAGGCTTCATCCGCATGGCGCAAGTTGAAGCTGAGTGGGCCATTGAGAACCTCAACAACTTCCAGCCTGAGGGCTATCCCGGACCGCTTACTGTGACATATCCGAAGGATCATTCTGACAAGGGCAAAGGCAAGGGCTACCAGTTTGATGCTTCGTCTATGTCAAATGGCGGGGCTGCATTTGGCAAGGGCGACTATGCCGACAGCTTCAAGGGCGACGCGGGCAAGTCTTGGGGCGGTGAGAAGGGCGAATCTTGGGGAAATGGCACCGATGTGAAGAGCGTATTCAACAGTGGGCCCAAAGGCATGTGGAGCTCCAAGGGCGCACCCCAGGGAAAGGAAAAGGGATGGGGGAAAGACAAGGGCATGGACAAAGGGAAGAGCGCCAAATCCGAAATGGCTGGATGGGACGGTAATTACGGAGGTTGTTGGGGCAAGGGAGGTGGCAAGACGTTTGCAAAGGGCAAGAGCAAGAAGGGGCCGTATTAGTATACGGATTGCAGTATCCGATCATGATTTCCATGCTCAAGTGGCAATAATGTTGTGGACCAAGTGCTCGTGACATGGAACTGCAATCATGATAGCGTTGCCAGAGTTTCACAGCGGACGCGAAGACATTTGAGTAGATTGGACTCAAAGTGCGTGCTTGCACCGAGAGCAGGAGCCTTGGACAGTAAGGCTTTTGGTCAACTTTGGCCTTGCGCTTTGCATGAGAGGTGCTAATTACCGAAGACCTAGTCGAAGATGATTAGTGTGTCGTGGTGAAGAGGTTGCAAGCATAAACCAAGCTGACAAGGTCCTTAACGATAGACTACCTGGGGTCAGGTTTTGTTTCCAAATTTTTCCAAGGCAAAGCTTTAAGACAGCTTAGCATAGCAGGCTTTGTTTGCTAGTTGCACCTTTATCCCTCCTCTCGACTCTAGCATGTGCCTGCTACATCCTCTCTTTATCAGGCATGGCCAAGCAGCTTGATGTGTGGTTCTCTCTCACGAGCACAGCCGTCCCAAAATACCTTTTAAGGGCACACATGTAAGCCACGCCTGCCTGGCTTCGCTTGCAGCATATGGATGAAGCAGCGCCATGCCATGCCTACGATTATGGGTTGCATCCTGAGACTGCATGGACTTGTCACGCAGAGGGATGTTGCACAACCATTCGAATCAGTACACCAGACATTGCATAGTTCGAACAACCCAGGCTGCGATCTCCACTGCTAGATGCATCAACAGCCGAGAAGCATGCCCCCTAGAAAATGGTCGGTCACTTTGGTCAGGAGATGTGCCTACGAGGCAGCTTGTAACATGCAGACATGATAGTTGGTACGTGTAGCTTCCTTGCCCGGTAGACCTGCGCCAGTGGTGTGTTGTCTGTTTGAATCGGCATGCTCATTTTCGTGCAGCCCCTCAGCAAAATCAGCAAACGCATCTAACAAGGTCGAAGTTTCAAGGCATAGCCAATTACCATATCCATGATGCTTGAATCCAGGGTTCTTTGCAGGAATGGTATGGGCTCATTTGTCTGTGTTGATACTCAAGCATTTGATTTCTCACACCTGACGGCTGGGCCAATGTGGAAATGGGCTGCAAGCAGCAAAATGCTGGTCTTGAAGTCCTGGTCCTTATCAAAGGGGTTCAAAGATTTTCGAAGTTTGTAAAGTTCTAATAAGATCTTGTGGGTGGGCGTGGTAAAAGTAATGACAAACCTTAGTCAGCACGTTGAAGGCACACGCTATGTGTGCCCTGTTCTCTGACAAAGGCAATTGTTGGAGTCATGATTGCAAACAAAACTTTGCAAAAGGCAGCTGGCGAGCCCTTTATCCAGACAAGATCTAAGTAGCAAAGGAAGTGCTAGCTGTTGAGCCTTTAGGCCTCGGAAGAATGTAAGGCCATAGCAGCCAACATGGTTCACAAGTAACGAGCTGTATGCGCTGACTTTGCGATGCCTTTTTAGCTCCTGCTCCAAATGGGCACACCAGACTTTGATGAAGCGGCAGTTTTTGGCGGGCTGAAGCCCAATATATTGTGAGCTTATCCACCAAGTGAACGGCTCTCGCACAGATGAGAAGAAGCTTTGGATCAAACTTGATGCTGTAATGCTCTCTGGGAAATTTTGTACGCTGTTTGTTCGGAACAGAAGTTGCGCACAGCATAGCTGGATTTTTTTACGTTCCTAATTCTTCGGCAACTTCATGTCCTTTGTCAATTCTTCGAGCTTTTCAGCATCAGATTTCTGATTTGCGACAGTTGCCATCATATCGGCGCTGTCCCCCCGCGACCAATCCCCAATCTCAGGATAACTCTCCATGGCTTGGATGGCATCCTTGAGCAATATGACCGATGGGAGAGTTACGCCTGCGTCGTCACCACTCTTCTTTTTGTCAGGATTTCCTCGGCGGCTTTCTTCATCTTCTTTTCCAACATCTTCTTCTCCTTTGCGATGGCTCGAGCTCTGAGTTACTCTTCGGGTGTGGCCTACACATGCCTACACCACCTGACACTCCAATTTGAGCTTGCTTTTCTCGCTTCTATGGACGTATTTCATTCTGACAAAAAGCTTGACGCTCAAGAATGATGGCTAGAACAATCTATGACTTTCCCACCCCAGCATACCAAGTCTTCGAGCTTGCTTGTCACTCCCAACAAAGCCAGTGCGCCGTGCCACGCGCGTCCTGAGCCAGCAGCATATGATTCAGAACAGGAGAATGAACCAATCTGAACATCATCCCACGTTTGTGATGGTTGTTTGCAACACCAGAACCCCCCCCCACACACGTCATTAACCTCTGCCTTTGCTTCAGACAGTTGCAACCATTTCCGTTGTGCTGTATCTTGGCCGGTGAGCAGAACAGCATGGTTGAGATAGTGATGTTCGCACATTCGCCAGCTTTGTGCCAAGGCAGACTTCGCAACAATGGCATGAGGTGCGGTTTGCGGACTCAAATGCTAGCTGCTAGCAGAGCTGACAGCAGCCCCAGCGCCACGACACGTAGGGAGCCGGGTGCAGTGACCGCTTCATTCCAAGCCGGGCTGCCACAGCCTGAGTTGAATCGCTGTCCCTTGTGAGCATGAGACCTTATTCACACTGTGCCTACTTGCTGGGGCTGTATTCCATTCTTGACCTGATTTGCAAGCCGATGCTCTCGCCCTGCAACGTTTCCTTTGCCAAAGAGTGGTATTCCATCCAGGTCATTCCAAGCAGTATGACTTAAACGCCCATAATGTACTTCTGAACGCCTGGCTGTGCAAGTCTTGCACGGTGTGCCAATTCTAAAAAATCAGCATAAGCGAAAGATTGTCGCGTGTTGTGCCCGTCCTGGTTGCAAATTATTCAAGTGGCTTAGGCTTCCGACCTTGAAAGTGGGCTCGCGTTGCTATCGGAGCCTGCAGCTTACATGAAAGATCTGAGACTCTGTGAGGATTCGCAGACATTCATTTAAGGAGTTCCCGGCCAGATGCGCGCGATGAAAACAACTCTGTGCCTCGGTAATTCTTTCTGTGATTGGTATGCTTTGAGGATTAGAGAAAAGTGTTCAGGTCTATGCGCAGCTTCTCCGGAGCGAGATTGGCCCCAAGCTTCTAATTGGCCAGGCTCAACATTGACTTTCTGTCGTCCAAGGCTTCTTGGGATCCGCCCTGGGGCAGAGAAGGAAGAAAAAACATTTAGGCTACGCGGTCTTGATTGCACTGTGCAGACTTGTTCGTGTTTTTGGCTTTGCCTTCAGGTCTCCAGACAGCAAGAGCCTCTTTAAATACAAGAGCTGCTCACAGGCAACGTGGATGGTATGCCACAAGAAATTGTATACGAATACCACCTTGTTCAGGCTAGTCAAGAAGACGCATTTTCTTTGCAGCATGCCCAGATGGTGCTTTGCAGGGTTTGAACGGCCCGCCTCGTGAATCGATTGTGCACAGTACCTGGTCAAGAAAAAGGTCACCCGTTTCCTTTCAGAGCAGCCGTTTGCTGGTGTCTCAGACCTCCGATCTCTTTGACTGACCTCATCACAAGCTTGAGGCTCAGTACGCCTCGAAAGGCACCAAGAAAGATTGCCAAAGTGCCTTTCAAGGCGGCACGCAGCTCTTTGGGCAAAGACTGTTTCGTGTCTCGCGTGCATGTCACACGCTGCAGATGTTTTGAATGCTGTAGAATCAGTGTGCACCCACGTATGATTCGGGGTGTCGTATAAATGAAGAACCCAAGCAAGCAAAGCAGGCACGCAAAGGGGCTGGCCTTTCTTTTCGCTAAAAGCAGCATCGATGCTGCGGACGTAGGAACCTGTGCGGCAGAGCTGTGCGAGGAATGCAGGGATATACATGACATCCCAAAAGGAATAAGTCCCACAGGCTCTCTCTCTCTAACTCTACTTGGCCATTTTGGCCTTCCGGCGTTCCCTCTAGGCTCTACGAAGGCCAGCCGTTCGTTCTTCCTCTAAGTGATCCTCAGCAATCTGGATCAGGCTGAAGCTTCCATCTCTTTGGAAAGCCCGAAAATGCATTATCCAGCACTTTAGTCACAATTCGGCGTCCAACCGAGCTGAAGGAATCCATGTTGGACCACTTGCTTGATCTCTGCCTTGCTGAGGCCATGGTCTAAGAACTCTGAACATGGTCGTACAAACTTTTCGCGTCTGTGACCAAACAGCCTGGGACCTTCAGCTCAACACGCCATTCCGCCATTCCTTCGGTGCGTCCACATAACCATGCCGAAAAGCTTCCAACATTTTTCGATTGAACCGGAGCTTGTCGGCCACCCCCACCCTCAAAGCACTTTCGCCTGCCATGGAATTCTGAACAGTCCCGGCAATTTTGTTGGAGTGATACTCAATGATGGAAGCAGCACCCCTCCCGTTGAGGACAAAAGCATCGGCAATGCAATGAACTTCACCGCGTTGAGCAGCTCTGCTGGATGTCTGGCCAAAGTTTGCGTCAAAGAACATGACAATCCATGGATCCTTTTCGAAGGGACGGAGGAGAGGCCTTGCTTGTCATTTTTCAGCGCCCTGCGCCAGCTTGTCGCGAAGTGCGTCAGCGGACCTGAGGTCAGCCCGCAGTACAAGATGAGCAGGCCACCTTAACCCAGCAACAACGTGCCGGAACATCTTCAAGCCGTCAGCATCCAGCTTCTCATCCGTCTTGCCCTTCTGCGTGACACGACCTTTCATGCCCTTGACATACTCAGTCATGTCATTAACAAAGCAGCCATCACGAACGTCCACTTGAAGTCCGAGGAAGGGACGGAAGTCCTGGAGCGCCTGTTGCCAGTCCTTAATGTTGAACTTTCGTCGATAACCTTTCTGAGGCGGTCCGACGTCGCATGCTCACCCACAAGGAGACCATAGGAGACCATCATCAGCATGAGAAAGGATTGCCAAAACGCACCAACGTCCTCCTCGACGCGCTCGGTAAAAGAACGTGGCCGGGGAAAAGATGACCTCAGTGAAGCCAACTTCTTTCAACAACCTCTTTGCCTCTTCTTACCACAAACGTGGCGCCTCCGCAAGGCCATAGGCAGATTGAAGTATCTGCCCAAGTTCACCTGAACGAACTCCTCGAACATCTCCAGACGCTCGGGCTAAAAGCTTCCTGTCAAGCTTCTTCCCCGTCAACAAAGCCGTGGAAACATCAAAGAGCAAGCAGCGCCGCCCTCTTGAGACACAGATGACCATGGCCATGCGAACAGCATTCGGATTACTTGTAGGTGCATCAGTACGGACAGCCCCCAAATCAGGACCAAGATGACCCGGCAAAACAATCCGACTCTTGGCCTTCAAAGCTGGATCACCCATCTGAACCTTATTGACTCGAACCACCCGAGCTGGCGCCCTGACAATCCTGTCTCAAGGGACTTCCCGAGCCTCCTGGTCTGAAAGCCAACTAATGCCAACTATGACTCCCCAGGTCCTCCCAAGCTTGCCATTCACGGCTTTCTGCTTCATGAAAGGTTTTGCGCTCCTTGACATCAAAAAACTTGGGAACCGGCTCCTTGTCGTTTGCCTTCATCTTGAGGATAAAGGCAATGCGCTGCTTCTTGCCCCGATGCAGGTCGAGGTTGGCAGCAACAAAGGTGTTGCAGTCAATTGGAAAAGTGTTGGAGATCACGCCATCCTTCTCCACAAAGACCGGCTCTGCCTTGGCTGCCACCTTCTTAGCCCGCGAAAGGAACTCGTCCTCCTTGGTCTTGCGGCTTCTTGCTCTGCGCTCTCCTGGCGCACTGCCACGGACTCACCCTCTGCCAACATCACGATCAAGCGCGGCCTCTTGGGATGGCGGCGGCCCGGATGAAGACGCTTCCGAGGCTGATGATGCAAACGAATTGACGACAGAGGAAGTCCAACAACTTGTTCAGGCCGCTTCCCCATTTGCTCGTCACCTTCGGGTAACTCTGCAGCCTGCGATGTCCCCTTCTTGACGGTCAAGGAACATCATCTTTAAGATGAGCCCGGCATTGACGAGCTTCGTCATCTAAAGACCCTGGAACAACGGGAACAAGTCTGCCTAGACAAACAATCCCCTTCAAAGTCGGACTGCGCGTCGGAAGGGGCATAATCTGAGAAATGGTCCCCTCCGTCAGGCCGAGTCAGGCCAATGATCAAATAATGGGCCAGGCTCCTCGGCAGGATTCCCGGGGGCTTCCGATGGCTCCCGAACAACTTCTGCGACTGCTTGATGATCAGCGTGTTCACCAGGCTCTGCGGCAGAATTTCTCAGTGCTTCCGAGGGCTCCTGAGCAACTTCAACTCTCCCCTTTTGAGGACGTCTCTGGCGAGGACGGGAGTTGAAGGTAACTTGAGCGTGCGCTTCGCACTCTTCAAGCCCTTCATCATCTCCCTGGCCTCTCGAACTGAACGTTCCAAACCATTGCGACGTCTCCGGACTTGTGCTTGTGGTCCATGTGGTGCAAAATCACCTTCTGGGGGCAGCATCCTTGGAAAGGTCAACAAAACCCTTCTCAGCGTGGGCTTCGGCTTCTCGAATTCTCAGCTTTTGGTCGGCTGTTTCGTCAAGGAAGCGAGCTTCATTCTTGAACCCGCGACCAAAAGACACATGCCACGCCAACTCATGAAGTATTTCTGATCGCCTTCTGGTAGAAGAGCGGCTGCCGGGCCACGCCAGTTTCCAGAGAGCCTTGGGCAGCCAGGGCATGCTGTTTGCACTGCCTCACCACCAGGTTGGTTGCGACCTCGGTTTCTGATTCAGAGTCCGGGTCAAGAGCCCCTCAGTACACCTTGAGAGCAGCCGCGCCGCCAGAACTCCCATGCACCAAGCAGTGACCTTGTCGTAAGCGCCTAGGTTCACAAAAGCTTCGTCCCGAGCGCAGGCCCTGCATCGATCGTCATGGCCGCGAGAAGTGATAGAACAAGAAGATCAAGTGCATCTTAGTCGGCAGGTTCCCTGCAACGGCGGAGCTGGTCTACATTGCCGCTCGTGTGCAGCGGTGAATATCTGGTCACGAGGTCGACGACTCACTCCTCGCCCGCGGACCTCTCTTTGGTAATGTTCGGTGTTTGGGGCCAGCAAGGACCAAACGCTGAAAAACACGAGCTGGGTGCTCCAGTAACACCACAGCCGGTGGCTTGTGCTCTGCGTCTGCAACACCAGTGACACATTCGACAGAAGCGGTTGCACATCTGGATCACTGTCAACGCCGCCAAGGCGCGTGCAAGACACAAAACAAAGCAAGTCGATGATGCGACCGCAGGCCACTATTCTCCAAACAACCACGCTCCCCAGATGTCGAAGAAGAGCAGCAAGCAACCGCCATTGATCCTGATGCTTCCCCCCGCGCTATGGGTAGAGAAAATCCGATACCACCTCCCCAAGCGAGAAAGCGGAGGCCCCAAAAGAACCACCCCTCGCTCAGGGGGTGGCCTTGAGAAGCCTGTGCGAACGTGGCGTTCGGCAGTTTTCTCCAGAAGATGACCCCGTCTGACTACCTCCATACGGAGAGGTCAAGGTGGGGTGGCCGCCATCCGGTAAGCGGCCGCAGCCAGAAAACGCACGTGGCGAACTTATGACGACTGTAGGCAAAGGGTGTTTTCTATACTGAGCTGACAGAACCGTTGATGGAGCGCTTTCCTGGAGACAGACGACATCGCCTGTCCGGCAGCAACACCACCTCAACGTGAGTGGGCGAGACTGGCCCCCCGCAAGATTGTGATGGACCCTCTCAAGCCTAAGATACATCATCAATCCCGCGTGGACGAAGCTGATCTGGACGAAGATGCCAGTGTGGGAGAACGACAGCCAAGCTTCCCCCTTCAATCGAAGGCCTGGCCAAAAAAGGGCCAAGCACAGTGGTTCACAGCCCTCTAACGCATCAGTCAATGTGGGTGTGCGTATGGGGGTGCGCGGCGCCGCCCTGGTGGATGAGGAGGACGGCGATGATCAGGCGGCGCCGAATGAAGAGGTGGTGTTCGACGGCGCCGAGATGCCGCCAGACTACGACCCCGGGCTGCCCCTCGTCTCTGGCTGAGCTACACTGCTAGGGGTCCGCTGGCAGGTCTAATTATGTCTAGCTGGGACGGTTCACCTGTCTGCCTGGGCAATTAACGGCGGGCATTCCGCCCACAGTTGAATCTGCGCATTAATGCACGTTTTCAGTCCTTCAGTATCTTTCAGTAGCTCACATCTTTGCGCCTTGCTGTGGCGCGCGCTTTCGTTGAACATGCGCCATTCCCTCTTGTAGTTCCACGGGTGGGTGTGCTGCCCTGGCACGTTTTGGGGTTTGCGCGTGTTCCTTTGAGTGGAGTGTTGTTTGCGCAGAGCACTCTTCTCCCCTTTTGCGGCCTTGGCTACCAACTAAGCCCTGGCTGCCGACTAAGAGCAGACAGCGCGCGCAAAAGGCCTCGTTCTCCTCCGTTGCGGGTTGAAAGGGGCGGGGCGACGATGTCATAATTTCAGCAGCGCCGTGGGTGATGCCGACTAAGCCTGCCTCTGCTCAGGTGCTGATGGATGCACCCGTTTGCGCTTCGCCCCTTGCAGCATGAAAAAGATGGCATCGAGCGCCGTGCTGACTGTAGTGCTTTGTGCAGTGTTTGCTGTAGATACCTTTAGGCAAGCGTGTGAA